TCTCCAATTCTGGGCTCAGTCCAAGAAGTTCATCCACATGCCTCATCAGCGGGCTCTTTGACACCACTTCTCCGGTGTTACTGAGCCTCCACACTGGGGCACTGAGGAAAGTGCTGCTCAGGGGGGGTTCCGCCGTCTTCACCTGTAACTGCCGTGTGTGCCTGCACTTCCCAGGCTCAGACAAGATCCTTTACCCTGTGGTGGAGATTCAAGCTCCAGTACAGCCGCGGTGCTTTTCAGGGAGCCTCGCCGCCCGTGGCAGCTGCAGGTCTGTCTGGAAGTTCAGCCAGGGGCTGCCCCCTGAGCCCGGCGGCGGGTGTGGCTGATGCTGCTGCAGCCCAGCCAGCTGGCTCTGCCCAGGCCCTCGCTTCAGGTCCTTCCTCATCCCCTCTCTTCAGCGCCCTTGGCAGTTCTACATCTGGGGTTATAGTTGTTTCCTTTGGTCCTCCTGGGTGTATTTCGTTTGCCCTCCAGACGCACCTCTACCTTTACCTTTCTCTTCCCTAAAACCAGCAGGAAGCTGGAAGGCAAAAGGGCTGAGCATGTCCATGCAATGGAGATGAGAGGTGGAGGGGAAAGACTGGAGCTCTCCTCTGCTTGTTCCTGCCTGGTCTGGGTCCACATGCTCCACTAAGGAAACCCTCAGCTCCTTCTTGGTGCCTACACCATCAGCTTCAGATGCACTGGGTCCAGGAGCTGCTCCCAGACCTCAGGATTCTGACCACTCAGTGTTGTGGCTAGTGTTGGGGTGCTTACTGCCCCTGCTGGCTTCCTTTAACCCTGCTCACAAAGACAGTTCATTCAGTTCCTTGTGGCCATGTCCTTGGAGTGTCCTGTGGATCCTCATAGTCTGACCCCAGAAGTTTCAGTTGGTTTCTTTCTCCTGGTGCTCCTGTTGGTTTGAGGGAGGAGACACCCTGCTATCTGCAACAGTAAGTTCCATGGACACTTTTTACATGAAAAGGTGCGACACAGATTCAAAGATTTTCTCCCTCAAAGGGTTTATATCCAGAATGTTCTTGGGGGAACAGTTTCTATCTTTTTGAAAGTGCACAGTTTTTCAAGTTATAAAGCTGAACAGCAAGATTTCTTAGCACTTTTAATTTTAAGGAGTTTTGTATGGAAGAAATGACACCTGCCTGACCCTGTTGTCCCCTGCCAGGAGCCTGCCCAGCGGGAGAGAGCACTAGGTCTGTCACTGTCAGTCAGCCCACACCACATGCAGCAGATTGACAAAGCAGGGGTGAGCTAGGCCCATAACCCAGAGGTCGATGGATCAAAACCATCCTCTGCTACAAGGTGACCTCTTTTTTGATCCCAACCCAAGGGCAGCAGAACCAGCTCAGACTCAGCCTTCAATCCCTCCCATTTGTGTCCATGTCCCCATCAAAATGTGTAGGACCCACAGAAGTGGCTGGTTTCATGGTGTAATGGTTAGCACTCTGGACTCTGAATCCAGCAATCTGAGTTCAAATCTCAGTGGGACCTGTGTGTGCCTTTTGTCCTGCCACGCCCCCACTGAACATTAAGATTAGAACTTAAATTTTAAGCAGTTTTGTATGGAAACAATGGCTTCCCCTTCTGTCCCCCCTCCCCTCCTCCCTTGGTCCCCTCCCTCTTTAACTCAGGCCAAGGACCCGGTGATCTGAATGACGTGAGGTTCTGTGGTGTGATGGTCAACACTCTGGACTTTGAATTCGGTGACCTGAGTTCAAGTCTCAGTAGGACACACTCATCTGTGCCTCTTTTGTCCCCTCCAGGGACCCTGCAGGTAAGGACCCGTCTGTTGTTGGGGACACCCCAGCACATTAGGGATTTCCTGATCTTTGTTCTTTTAATGTTCATTTTTTCCCCTTTTCCTTTTACAAAAGAAACCCAAAGGGGCTTATACTATGTATTGTTGCAAGATTTTTCTGTCAGTAAAAATTTATTCCACGGTTTGACCACCTGTAGAACCCAACGTTTGGATGTACAATTACCTGCCCGGAGCGCCTGCTCTCTCACTGACACCAATACCTCATGTCCCGTGCACATCTCTTGGGCAAAAACCAAGCCAATGTACATGTATATGCTTATCTCTGTGTGTATTTATAGATACAACTTGCATTTCAATTTAAAAATAAGACTTCAGTCCTGGTACCTGCTCTCCTTGTTCTCAAAACATGTGGCCCATCCTTATTAAAAAGTACAGGGTCCTGCCTGTCACGTGCCCTCTGCTGCCCTGCATGTCGTGGTGAGGGTTCATTTGCTTTAGGCAAATGCTACACCTGCTGTTCCATCCCGGAAGCAAAACCAGTGTCTGTGTGGAAGGAGGTGGAGTGTAACTACCAAGGCTGGGCCCTGAGGGGAGCTGCCTGCCTGGGCTGCAGTGCCCTCACCTGACCTGGACACAGTGTGAAGATCTGAGCTCTCACTATAGACCGTGTCCAGAAGCCTCTATCACTTAGCTTCTGGCCAACAGGTGAGGCTATAAAACATCCTCAGTCACAGGAAGTGCCTGGTTCCATACCCTAGGTCAGGATCAGATTGATGGTGTGGGCCATGGATGGGCTCCAACAATCACTCCAGCCGAGCTGAGGAGGAAGGACTGGCATCCACACTGGCCCCAACTCTCATGTCAGGCAGAAACGGAACTGAGAAATCTGGGTTCTGATGTGGTCTGGAAATTTGAATGTGGATGGATCTGGTCCACTAGGTTCTGGCAGCACCAGCCCTCAGACCACAGCGTTCCTGCTGAGGGGCTGCGGATCTGACGTGCTCTGTCCCCTCCTTGTGCTCACCACACTTCTCACAGCAGACATGCCGTGTGTGTCACTCCCTCCTGACCACAGGGCCACCGTCACTCTTTGCTTCTACTGCCTGAGTGACAGTGAACGAAAGGCCTGGGCCCACTCTCTTGTGGCCATAACCCAAGATGTGCCTTTGGGCGGACCTGAACCCTCATGTGATGCCATCCCTCAGCCTGGCCCTGTGAGGGTGGACTGTGCCACATGTCCCCCAGGAAGCCTGTCTTCCTTGTAGCTGGAAGAGGCAGCTTTTGAAGAGTGGCCCCCACATCTGACTCCTGCCATTCTGGGACTGATGGGGACAGGGGAGGACAGCGCTCCTGCTCTGGGCCAGCTGTTGGCTCAGGTGAGGCTGTGCTACCATGACCTGCTGCCCCAGAGCCCATGCCAGCCCTGGCTATGAGAGCGCATCCGCTCACCCAACGCCCACACGTAGAAACTCTTTGACTGTTTATTTCATAATCAGTTACTGCATAGGATGAAACCCACGGTACATAGATTGAAAGCAAAAGATATGTAATTTCACGCAATGTCCCAGTTATCAACCCAGATGGGTATACAGATACCATGACACAAATGAAGGAAACCCAACAGGCTGAAGGGTTCAAGAAGAATTCACCCTATGTTAACAAAATCCAAGTGCTCTGAGAAACCAGCTCCCGGCCGGTCACGTCTCACTTCACAGGATGGGCCTGCTGTGCTCGGAGTCCGGGTTCTGCAGGTGGCTGCGAGCCTTCTGTGTAGTCATCTGCGGGCAAACTGCTCTCTTCTCGTTTAAGGCAATGCTGCAAGCAGCACAAGCAGGGCAGGGAGTGCCGTGGTGAGCGCAGAGGCTGCCTGGAGCAGAGGGGAGCGGCCAGCCTGCTAGGTGAGGCGTGGACACGGAAGCTATCTCCCCCAACCGTGGGGTGGGTTGGATGGCCTTTACCTGCCTGACCCACCCAGGGAGGGAGTGAGCAGGGTGTCCACCCTCCATTCTCCCCTCTGTAACACCTGTCACCCTTGGCAGGCCTCCCCCACAAGGCAAGTTCAGCTCAAACCATGAACGTAAAGGGCCCACGTGGGGCCTCATCCAGATCCCCAGCGACAGGACCTAGCCTCAGGATGTGGCCACTCCTGCCAGACGCAGATTCGTTTCAAGAAAAGGTGGAAACACAGACTTGTGTGTGAGCCCAGATTCCAAAGGTGGCAACTGACTCATGTTGTGGGAGACACACCTTCAGAGCAGCATACATAGGTCAAGTCAGGGCCACACCA